ATTCCTGCTTTCATACTTGTCGTGGATATCTCCGGACAGCTCTACCCGGCAAAAGTATCTCTCGCTGTCACTCCAGGTCAGATTGTCGATCCTGATGGAAAGGTCCTTGTGCCGGGGGTTGCCAAGCAGTTTGTATTTGTTTTTGTAGCTGATGGCAGTCTTACAGAGCTCGCTGGCGCCCTGACTAACGCACTTGAAAACTATCGTGCCGTTGTAAGGTTCCTTGATCCTCCAAATGGCAGTGAGGGTCCTGTCAAATGTTTTGTAGGGGTGTGTGAAAGTACAGGGCAGGATAACCATCTTCCCAAGTTCACCAGTAACATCGGACGGGACGTGGACGGACCAGCCGTTGGACTGCACACCTAGAAGCAAAAAGATATTATCGAGACTGATTTCTCTGGAGTGTTTTAAGAGGGAAATTGGGCATCCTTCCTGCATTGGCTGTGGTGTTGGTGAGTAAATACATGCTCTGTTCCCGTGGTGGGCCCTGTGCTACTTGGTGTTCTTGCTGAGGACTTGCAGGTGATTGTGAATTACTGTGGCTGGATTTGATACCAGTCTGCAGCAGAGCTAAGGGGACTGACTAGCTCATGTTACTAGTGATTTAATTCCTAAGCAGGCCTCTTGTTTGCCAAGTGAACAATAGCACCTTAAGCTGTGTAACACAGTCTTTTGCTTTTAGCAGGCATTTATGCGCTTGGAGGAACAGGCTTTCTTTTTTTTTTCCTTAAAAAAAAAAGCTAAAATAAGTTTTGCATTTATTCAGAGATCTGGTGGCTTTAAGCACTGAAATGCAGTAAGTGCAGTAGTCATTTGAGTGTGTGTGCACACACACTCCCACCTTATCGTATTTTTTATGCTGATCAGCTGGGGGTTGCATTACCCCGGGGAAGGTAGCAACAGCTGATGTTTCTAATGAGCAGTGCTGCTGTCATCACAAAGTAGTGTCTTATTCATAAGCTGCGACAGGATCTGAATGAAGACTTGGAGATCCTCCTCTTACGTTCCCCGTGTCAGCTCCTGCCGTAGGAGGGAGGATGCCCTTGACAGAAGAGAAAGCATCTCCCCGTTAGCGGAGCAGGTTGTCACCGTGTGGACTCTACCTGCCAGTACCTTCCCAGACAGGCCTTGTCCTGGTGTCACGGCAGGGGAAACACTGAGTTTTCCAGCTGAGATGTCACAAAAGATTGGGATTTTGTTCTCCTGCCCACAGGAGGTCCCAGTAAATCCTAGTGCAGTCTGGGGAGCTGGATCTTATTGCCTCTAGACCCAGTCTGATCGTTTCTGCCCAGTGATGAAAGCAACATTCACCTGAACAGACACTCTCCACCTTGGAAGTACTTAGGGAAAACTCCAGTTCTCATCTGTTTCCCTTCCCCAGGAACCAACAGCATCAACAAATAACACCTGCAGGCAGTGCTTTCCATATAGATATCTGTATCTACCCCCTGTCTTGCTAACTGCAACAGCTGTAGCAGCAGATTGTGGCTTCAGAAATGTCTGTGGCTACGTTCCCGTCTTTTAAAACTCACTTGATGGCTTGATTAAATCGGGAGCTTTCGCCTCAATACCTGAGAATAACTGCAAAAAACGTATAGGTGTCCTCTAAATAACTGCCTCCCATCCCTGGTCTAGCTGGCTTCACTGTGGTCTGTGGGCATTCAGCTGTGGGGTTAATCGAGCAAACTCTGATTTGTTGCTTGTTCATATATCTGTTTTCCATAATATTTGACAAATACCTCAGCGTTGGTGCAGCTGGTATTAATTTATTGTGCGCTGCACAATGGACAAAGGCCAACGCAGGACCGGTTCTCTGCCGTTAGGTTAGTTACCTGGAATCGGCGCCAAGCCAGTATTTTGGTTACTAAGAGCTGGAGTTGGGCTGCCTTGCCGTTCGTTATAGCTTTAGGAGTGCCTTTTGCAGCCTAGGTAATCTAATATACAATCTAATATACGTGGCCACAGGAGCTCCAGGAAGCTCATGGACTCTGACTGCAAAGACCTGGCAGTGAAAACAGAAAATGCTATTCCTTTCTATTTTATTTCATGTTATTTTGTTTATTTTACATCATGACACTGTGACCCTTACTTTTGGAGAACTGCAGATCATGTGCTTTTGAGTACATGATTTGCTTTTCTGTGCCACCTTTCTGGTTTGCATTTTTTAAAAAATCTTAAGCAACGGACATTATTTTTAGCACATAAACATCCCCTTGCCTTCCACGTGAGAAATAATGTTAAAAATAAGTGCTTCTAATGTTACCAGCTCCACCTTTTTCTGTGGAAACACAGTTTGCCTTGGTTATGAGTGGAGGGAGCTGTCAGCACCTTGTGTTTAATTTAACCTTAACCTTAAAGTGTCACCATGGGGGTCTTCCATGGCTGCTTCTTGCTACTATCCAGCCTCCATTTCTTCATGTGATTGAAGTTCATAGGCAAATAGCTACAGACCTTAGACGAGAGAACTCCTGAAAGGAGCTGTCAGGTCAGTGTATCTGCTAGTTGTCAGTGGAAAGGATTTGAAATCACAAGCACAGTAATGAGATCAAGAGCTGGAGACCACTGCAGATAACAGCCGTGCTCTAGCAAACACTGTTTGGCAGTATATCTAAGCAAATCCCATTGACTTGAATGGAACTGAAGTGCATACTTGAAGTTAAATGTGAGCTTAAGTGCTCAGTGGAAGTGGAGTAAATTGTGTCCGCTGCATAATAACTCCTCGGAACACAACACAGCACTTCTGAGTGGTGATAGAAATGCTGCATCCAACTGACAATGCAGGGGAAAAGTTAGATGAAGATGAACTCCCTGCACAAGTCAAAAAAGCAAAAAATGCAAAAAAACGCCCCAAAACCCAAGGCAAAGACCTCTCTGACAATTGCAGAATCAAGCCTTTGAGTTTTTCCAATATTCTCACGTCCATCTGGAATTGCAAGGATCCCTTTAAGCAGCACAATGGATGGTGCAATTCTTGAAGAGTTTACTGTACCAAGCAATTCCCCTGGCACTTCAACTAGAGTGAGAAGAAAAGCCCTGATCAGACAGGGGTTCGTAGCGAGCGCAGAACTCACCCTTCCTGGAGATGCGAAGGAGGCACAGAAGAAACAAGCCAAACTCTTTCATGCTGGTAGATGTTCTCCACTGAGGTGTATCAGCAAACCAGAACCGTCTCTACTACATCTGAACTGCTGGTCTTGCAGTCACGAAAGGTTTTTCCAGGGATGGAAGAAGTTGTGGTTTCCCTCTCCTTGGAGGGAATGAGCTGTCTAGCTGAACCAGCTCTGGATTCAGATATTAATAGTTTTGTGGTCAGTCATGTGAAAAATACAACAGAGGGAATCGGAGCGTTACCACTTTCCAGCTAAAGGAAGGGGACTGTAGATTGGGGCTGCAAACACCCACGCCATGTGTGTGATGGTGCAAGAGGGGACAGCTTTCAAGTGCTACCAACTCACCGGTCTGGAGGAGGTCCTTGCAGTCTGCCAGAGGCAGTGGCAAGGCAGACCCTTGCTCTCCTGGCTTGAGGTAGTTCATCCTCCTGAGCCCGGAGTCTGCAAGCCAGCTGTGTTTGACCCCTTGTGCTCAGTGTTTGACCCCTTGTGCTCACTGGTTGTTGTCATTCCTAGGTGTAAAAAACTCCGTCCTCTTCTTTCAAAAATCATCGGAGCACTTGTGCCAAGGTTCAGCGGTGGAAGAGGGCTCTGGTACCCTGCTCTGCCGGGACTCCCGTGACCCCGATGAGTTGCAAGTCATTCTCTTCCGTGTTAACCTGTGTTTGAAATAAGCTTAGCTCCAGCTTTTGCCCAGAATCCGTGGGCAAATGCTTGCTCTTTTCTTCTGGGTTTAGCTTTAGCAAACTTGCTGTGCAGTTTGCTAATCTGCGGAGCTCAGGGACTGTGGAGAGCTGACCGTGCTCCCCACCACCTCATCTCCCACACCGTGATGCTGTGACGTTGTTAAGTTTAACCTTGGAGGGGGTATTCCCTGTCGGGGCTTAGCTCGAGGTTTGCTGCTTTTGCTTCAGACCGGACAAAGGGCTGATGTCCGACTCCCTCTTCTCATCTGGGCAGCTACTCCCCCGTAGGGTCCTGCTGCCTCTCTCCCATTTGGGGACGGCAGCACCCACACGGTTCCTATAGTAGGCAGCGATGGGTGCGTAGCCACTGGAGGGCTCCCAGAGCCAATGTAAGATGCTGCTGCTTCGTAGCTGCTGCCACTTTCCCTGTACCAAGGGCCGGTGCCTTCCCCCAGCAGTGATGCCAGGGCTCCCCTCTGCTCCTCACCTCCTCTCCTTAAATTCTCTGCCTATTTTCCCTTCTTAACTTGCTCTGCAATAGCTCCCAGGGGAGGGACTTGGAGATTTGGTTGCGTTAAGCGTGTTCATTGCTTTCTGAACCCTTTCTTTGTTCTGGTCAAAGTTAGAGTGGCTGTGAAGGGAGGGATTTCTGTTTTCCCAGACTTTTTGGAGGAGGCTCTGAGAGTACTTAGCTATTATTTACAGTGGCTTGGACCTGTTGCTACTCAGCAGAAGGTGGTATTATTTCAACTAATGACTTAGAGCTTGGCTCGGTCCCGATGTATGTCCTCCCAGAGCAGGAGGACCAGGGCACAGTGCTCTAAGTACTTTGCAAACACAAATCTGTCCTTAATAGCTGCAAAAAGTAATACATGCTGCTGGCAAGAGAGAAACCTGAGGGTATGAGTGGTGGAAACAGCGAATAAGAGACCTGCATCCTTATCCCATTTGTGTAATATACCTTTTCTGTTCTGTCTACCTTCTCCATTTTCCTCCATATACTGTATGATTTTATCTATTTGCGATGTAAACTTTTTGGTGTTGTGACTGTCTTTAAACATTTCACCACTCAGGGCACAGTGGGACTCAGTGGGTTAAAGTAAACGATTGAAGTGAAATCCATGCTAAAAACATGTTGTTACAGTGAAGCATAAATGATTAACGTAAAGAATAGCTGCAGTTAACACTTAGTATGGACCTCTCCCTCTCTACTGTTTTACACAAGCATCTCCTAGACAAATATCTGGTAAATCAGTGCAGAAGTATGAATCCTTTGAGTTTTATCTCTAGACTGACGTTCTTTCCAGACCATGAGATAGCTATTTGCAATGAAGAATTTTACATTTTCAGCTCTGCATTTTAAACAAGATAGCTGAAAATGTTTGCAAACTATTTGAATCAACCAAAAAAATCTTGTAAACAAAACCATCCATAGCTATATGATCCACAGACTCTGTTACCTGTGACCTTTTCTTCCAGTTCTGTGCTTGAATAGTATCTAAGATTACTGGAAGAAAAGCTGCTTCTGGTCCAACACCTAAACCAGCATGTCTTACATACTCATAAATACTGGTTTTCTTCCTCGTAAATCTTTTTTTAAGGGCTATATGTAATGACAGCAGTTGTTATGCTGCTTTACTAATATCTTCCCTCAGTGCTTGTACAGAAGCAACAATCATGGACCTGGTCCCAGAGACACCCCAGTTGCTGGTGCTTGCTTCTGCTATGAAAATACATGGGATCTGGAGAAAGAGAAGAGAATGGGAAGTCGTAGGTTTTCCCACTCAGAAAATGGATGAACCCGTTTAAATAAAAAGAACCTGTAAATAAAAACTAGAGGAACCTGTAAATACAAGTAAGTAGCAGTTGAGTGTAGGCCAGCGGCAAATTTTCAGCCAGTGGTGTGGCCAGTTCATGGTGTGCTCTTTGGCAGGTTAAGGGGAAGATCTCATGTTCCCATCACCTTCATGGCTGCGTCTGGTCCTGTTAATAGCAGTCCTGAGCTTTTGAAGGCCAACATCAGCTTTTGCTCCCTGGACTTCACCTCCTCTGTCTGCCCTGAGTCCAGGTGACGGCTTCGTGAGGCACTGAAAAAGGTGAGAGATGTTTGGTGTCTGGGTGCTGCTTTAATTACAGCAGCTGTGTGTTAATGGCACTGTAAGGAATTATATGCCATACCATATAGGTTGCAATTTAAAAGCACGATCTGATGGAGAAAGCACAGAAGGAGGAGAGAATGATGTTGAAATAAACTGGTTAAGGTGGTCAGTGGCTGTATCTTGGTAACGCTTTATTGGGCCTGCAGCCTTTCCCAGCTCCTTTTAACCTTTCCTAGTTGGCTGACTTTTTCTAGAGGTTAGTCTCTTGTGGAGTGTTCATCTCCTAATTCCCTGAGAAATCCCCGCAGCGTTTTGTGATGGATGGTTGACAAAAGTTGCAGGGTGACCCAGAAGCATGCCAGGATGCTTTCTTAGCAGACGTACCCTCCGTTCAGCGATACCCCTTGCACCACGCGCGTTGGCAGACAGCAGCTTGTTGCCTGAGCCCTTTGGACTTGTCAGAAGCTGCTCCGTGCCACCTTGCATGCTTCTCCACTGACCGCCGTATGAAACCGCCGTGATCTGAGCGGGGCGGTGATGTGCGCCCAGGTTGCAACACGGAGCTGGAGATGAGCACGGCAGAGCTTGTGCCTCCGGGTCCCAGGTTTGTCGCCGAGGACCTAAGCAATGAGTTTTTCTGTGTGTGTGTACCTGTGCTGACGATGCATCTGCTTATTCAAGGACCAGAGTGAAGCTGGTTGTTTCCCCTCCCTCCCTTTGGGTCTTAATTCCAGCTCCAAGGTTTTCTACTTCAATTACTTCAGTGGCATGTGCAAATCCTGCCCCTAGTCCTCTGAGTATGACAATCTGCACATGTTTGACGCAAAAGCCTTCTGTTTTGTCAAATCTGGCACTCTTCCCTGAAGGGATTGGGTCTGTGAAGTAGCTGGGAGGTGAAGCTGGGAGGCCAGAGGAATTTTCCCTCTGCCTGGTCTCTGCCAGCTGAGCAGGAGAAAGCTGAGCCGTGCTGAGCTTCTTGGGGAGCGGCTGCGGGCTGCTGATCTCCCCTGTGCGTCCGCTTCATCCTCACCGAGCTGGAGGGAGAAAAAAATCAGCAGGTACAGCTGCCACGCAAGGGAAGTTGAAGGGGTGGGAGGGATGGAGGGTGTAAAAGCCGGGCACCATTCCCGTAGGTGACACTGATCTTACCTCCTGGCACCGAGTGCTGCTGCAGAGCATAGTCACCACTGTGTCA